GGCCATCCGGCCTCAAAGTCGACAGGTTGCGCGCCACAAGTCGGCGTAAACAGACTAACATGGCAGAGTTGCGGATGAGTTTCAATGAGTGTGAGTTCGTTCACTGTTAAAATAGTGTAAATTTGTAAACATATTTGCAAGAACTTTGTTTCATCGCAATTTCACAATTTTTACGAAATTCCCGGACTGTCCGAGTGAAAACCGAACAGGTGGTAACACTAGGAACAAAGAATGAACTGCATACATCGATGAATCAAAATTCACATATTGCTAACATCGATTCAGGATCGATGTTTCAAAAACATCGGAAGGTCGATGCATCGACGAACAAAAACATCGATATGTCGATGTCACATCGATGCATCGCACAGCACTAATATGTAGTCTGTTAGCGCTGGTCAGTAGTAGTCCAAATTCAATACGAACGTTTGTTTTTTGAAAATTTGATCACGATTTAAATACAGTATTTACTTTTAATATTACCGATATGTCATCGAAAATAAAACGTGTTGTATTATCATTAAAAGACAAAGTATTTGTTTCCATTATCCGGATTTTTCCTTATCCGGACTACCTTCATCCCCAATTAGTCCGGATAATCGAGGTTCTACTGTATTTTAATTTTACATTAAAACATAAATTTAGTAAGTTATACAAAAAAGTGACAGTTGTTACATAAGTTATTTTTTCATTTCACTATACAAAATATCACAATATATCTAATAAAAAATGTCTACTTTTGAAGCGTTTCAATATCCAATGAAAACAATTTTTAATATAAATCTTAAAATGCTATAAAACAATACAAAGTGCTGTGAGTTGTTAAACAACTTGAGTGTATTTTATGTCTATTGCAAATTATACTAAAATGTGCTAAAGACGTTTCTAACTATATTCTATAAGTTTTAATGCTAAATTTTCATATTACGCGATACATTACTTTTACTATGAACTTAATTTCAATCATTAATTTTTTCTTTCAAATTACATTTTTAGTATTCGGAATAATGTCAACAGATCGCATTTTTCCATAAAGATTTATAATACTAACATCAAAATAATAAAAATATATTTTTCTTATGAAGTATACATGTTAGAGACATCAATGACTTCATGTTCACAAAATGGTTAGGCACATTTTGGTTTCTCTTCTTCCACGCTTCTCAAATTCAAGAGACTCGAATATATTGAATGTATGCAATTAGCCATCTGTAAATACACATAACATTCATCTTACAAAAATTTTATCTAAATTTTAAAGATTGTAAGTTAGATTCTTATTTTACTTTTACATCAATTAAAAAATATAATGAAACAGAAATTTTTTCTTGTGTCATTGTCTCAATGCATGCTGCCATTTTTTATCATACAGTAGAGCATCGATTATCGGACTCAATTGGGGACTAGGGTTAGTCGGATAACTGAAAAAACAGATAACCGAAAAGTATGAAAAAATACATTATTTTATAGTATATTAGTATACCCCATGTAATTATTGATAGTATATTAGTATATCACTATTAACCTACTTCGCGTTGAATTTTCATCGATGTTAAGCCTAACAAAATTTTTTTTNCATCAAACTTATGAAAAGATATTTTTCTTATAAAGTATGAATGTTAGAGGCATCAATGACTTCACGTTCACAAAATGGTTAGGCACATTTTGGTTTCTCTTCTCCCACGCTTCTCAAATTCAAGAGGCTCGAGTATATTGAATGTATGCAATTAGCCATCTGTAAATACACATAACATTCATCTTACAAAAATTTATCTAAATTTTGAAGATTGTAAGTTAGATTCTTATTTTACTTTTACATCAAACATAGAAATTTCTTGATGTGACATCGTCACAATGTCGGCTGCCATTTTTTATCATATTTTAATTTAAATAGATATTACATTTGACGCTGAATCTGAAACTGTGATTACTTTTTCTTTAAGGTAAAGTTATCTCTGACGTGACATTTTTATCACAGAAAATGCGAGATCACGTGAATATCGTACACTTTAGAGTGCCCAGTGATAAGTTACTGATCTCAGTTTATTGTAAGAATCGATTTTAAAACAAATTTATCACTGTATTTAGTAAGGTTATAATTTTGAATTAAAATCACATGATTTTCGGTCCAGACAAGCAGTTCCTATATAATTAATCGAAACCTGTAACCCTTAAGCTTCCTTATCTAATTTTGATTTTCATCTACGCAGTTCTGTTTTCGAGATTAAGAACAGACGGACGACAGCGGTAATGTATAGCACTATAATTTGAAAATTACAGAACAATAAATTGTCTTAGGTCTATTTACTATGCATATAATAACGGCCATATTACAACTGTGACTCGGACTTTCTATAGGAAATCAATGACACTGAAAAGATGAGGAAAATTTAAATATGAGAAGTAATGGACCAACTTGGTACAGGGGCCAAAGGTTAACTTGCGTCTGTACCAAGTTAATCGCGATCTCCTCTATACCAAACATACTTTTGACACAACGAATAATGCAATTCTATCGTCTACGGCAGTGACTTCGCAGTTGGCGGAAAGATTAGGGCTTACAAGTTCAAGGAGACCTTTCGAGGTATGCGTAACAAATCTGAATGATATTGTGTGTGTGAATAAATCTCAATAGCGCTCAGATAATTAATTAATAATAATTGTAGGACAAAAAGCATAATATCAATTCAACAAGAAAAATAGATATAATATTAATTTTTTAAACCACACTGTACAAGGATTAGCTGATGTTATACACAATAGATTTTGTTTCAACTATACACGATAGATGACGTCATATTCATTTGTGTAGGAACAGGAAAATACCACAATGTTGGAGTATAATTGTAACTTGCTATATTGTGTCATTAGAACACTATTGGAGTTTATAATACGTTAAAGTTTAAGGTAACATTAAAGTTATAATTTTAAATTATGTTATACTTAAGTATCATGCGTATTTCACATTATATCGTTTAACATAGTATCAAGTAGCAAATTGAACGTGACCCCAATTGTATCGTTGGAATGCCTAAAAATTTATGGAAATGCTTTATCTAAAAGTACGTATCATATCATAATTTGTTTTAAATTACTTGAATGTGTTTCTCTTAATAAGTATTTCCTTCAACATACAGTATACTTTTAGTATTCACTAATACGTGGTGTCTTTCATATTGCATCTAATAGCTGAATAGGGAAAATGAATTAATATCTCTCCCGAAATGCATCTTAATATATTATAAAATTGTAGGATTTATATTTTATTAATAAAATAATTACTAATACACTGCAATTTAAAAGTCTTAACATTGATGTACGACAAGTCTTTAATATAAAAGCCAAAAAGGTCAGCTTAAAAAAAAATGATTATTTATAAAGATTACAGTAGCTCACTTAACAGGCATTCTATGAATCATAGTGGCTCACTGAAAGCGATGCGATTTTTTCGATTAGGCAGAAATACTTTTAACTGAGCCCGATTATTTGCTTTTATAGAAATTAGTTACCGCACTAAGCAAAAAATCTTCGGCAAGAGTTCCGAGTACACATCGTATGCTTCATTAGCACCTCAAACAACTGTTTAAACAGAATGTACAAATTCTTGAATCTTATGAAATTATAACAAAAAAGCGTTTCTACGAGCAAAATAAATGTATTCATTCAATGATTTTTTTTATAATATATAAAGCAGTTCTTTCNGCTTTATTCCTTGAAAATAATTGCTTCGGATATAAATGTGAGTAATATTTTGATAGACTACGCAATATAGTGTACAAATATTTTCATAAAAATAGAATTACCGATCGAGTAACTTATCATTGGATAACCAAATAATTCTTTAATTAACTTAAGTAATAGCACAGAATTAAAATAGAAAATACATTACAAGATAAATTTTAATATTTTAAACAGATTTGGAATGATTGAAATTATTTTAAAATATTGACATATATTAACGCATTAAGCAAGCATCTTCGGCAAGAGTTTCGAGTACACATCGTATGCTTCATTAGCACCTCAAACAACTCNTTTCATAAATATAGAATTACCGATCGAGTAACTTATCATTGGATAACCAAATAATTCTTTAATTAACTTAAGTAATAGCACAGAATTAAAATAGAAAATACATTACAAGATAAATTTTAATATTTTAAACAGATTTGGAATGATTGAAATTATTTTAAAATATTGACATATATTAACGCATTAAGCAAGCATCTTCGGCAAGAGTTTCGAGTACACATCGTATGCTTCATTAGCACCTCAAACAACATTTTAAACAGAAAGTACAAATTCTTGAAACTTATGAAATTATAACAAAAAAAGCGTTTCACCGAGCAAAATAAATGTATTCATTTAATGATTTTCTTATTATATATAAAGCAGTTTTTTTCAACATGAAAAAATTTGAAACGATATTTAAACTGTTTTAAAGAAAGCTACTAAGCATTAACTTGTATCTCGTGTACTTTATGTAGTTTTTTATGTACTGTATTTAGATTTATATTTTATTTCCTGTAGAATATGCCTTTTTGATACACTTAAAAAATTTGGTTGTGAATGGCTCAATGAATATATGCCTACAGCAATACAAGGAATAATTGAAAATTTTTCAGCTACACTTCTATTATCGTGCGTGTTTTAAATGTTAACTAATTGTCCAATTAACAATGGGATTTAATATCACTATGTAACTATATCTGAAGACTTCGTAAATGAATCTAAACACTAATATTGTTCAGTTGATTCAATCGTTACGAAAATTTATATAAAACAGTATTCTATAAAATTCATAAATTAACAAGAAAAATATAATAATGATGTTACTTTAAATACTTTACCTTGATTGGAAATTTCTTGGTTACATTGAAATAATCTTTCAGAGAAATAAGCAACGAAGCCTTCCCGAATCTCTTCATAAAATTCAAAATCTGAAACGAAATTTATATATGAGAAATGTATTTTAGAAATTATTAAAATAAATTATTCAGAAATTAATTAAATCCAGCACAAAAAATATTCGTTATGTGATGATACTGTAACAGGAATTCTTACTTTTAGCTTCTGCTCTAATGCCAAATTACAATCAGCAAATCTTCTTATATCCTGAAAATTGTTTTGCATCTAAAAATGAACCATAAATTAATACGAATGTAAACTTAATAAACAATGGTGTAATGACTTAATACTTACAGCAGCAGTACATCGGGACAATAAATATGCAACAACGAGGCATCCTATACATAAAACTAAGGCAACAATGAAGAAAACAAGTGTCACAGCATAATTCATTTTTATGAATAATAAACTGTAAATAGCTAAGCATGTTTCCAGCAATATAGAGAAATAATTAACGAAATACGATAAATTGTGAGCGTTGTTCACGTGACTAGTAAAAGTCCAAAGTTGATCATGAGAAATTATTATCGATTCTATTTCATGAGATAAATGTCTGTTATTTCTTTGAAGTAACAAATGTTGTTTTGATAAATTAATAAATGAGATTATTATTATGTAAATAATTATTCCAATAATTATACAATTGTGAATGAATCCACCTATGCCATAAATTGTGCCAATTCCTGTCTGTATATTGCAAAATACAACTTCATAAAACGAATAATATCCTGTTTGAAAAGCGTAATATATTATAAGAACAATTATGGTTTGCATTGTTATTATCATAATACAACTGGAAACAATCTGAAATATGGAAACAATATTTATAATGCGACTGAAATGCTGTTTTTCGTAATCAGAAAAATTTCTTAATTTAATTGTTGGTTTAAATTTATTTCTGTATACAGAACTGTTTATCATCACATACATAAATATAAAAGTAATGAAAAATAACTTGAGAATTATAAGTTCGTCTCCAAATAGGTTGAATGCACTAAGACAAGGAACATTTTCATTGAGAATTGGAATGAGAGAAATAGTTATTACAGAGAGATATGCCCAGGAAATATATTGCACTAATCCAAAATAAAAAGATTTGAAAAACTTATTCACAAAAGTGGACCTACTCGAATATTGACAGTTGCATTCAAAGAAGGGATCCACACCAAAGACTAAAGCGGTCGATAGACACGGTTGAAGTAAACATCTCAAGCACACTTCAGTTAATTCTTCCATCTTCTATCTGCCAAGAATTAAGAATATTATGTTATTTCTGCTAGTTAGCTGATTAATATAATTTTGCAAAATTTTCTTAGAATAAGGTGAGGTTCTTTCTACACTGATTTCTTCCGATGCAAATACGATTATGTAAAGCTATTAATCGAAATGTCAGTTATTGGGGCAGTATGTTTTGAGTTGTTTCATAAAAGTATTAAATTTATAGTCAAAAGTAGACGTAGGCCTACTTAATGGAGATATTTATTATACCTTAATAAATATTGTTTTGAATGTACTGTCACAATTTATTTCTTAAATCTGAAAATAACTGCAAAAATATTATCGAAAGTAACCTTACATGCAATTTAAGTAGAATCTATTTAATAATGTCAATAATATATAAAATTATGACATGTATAATATAGAAAATTCATATATAAATTACTACGTTTTGTATAATGCATCATGTTCTATGTAGTATTAATAACTTGGTATTGGACAGAGTAGTAAATTTATGGAAATTCGATATGGATAATAGCTGCTTCATAAAATACAAGTGGTTTCGAAGGAAAGTGATGTTTCATATGACAAATTATATTTTGGACGGATATTGCTTTCGTGTTTTAATGATAAAATTTATAAGTTTAACAATAAAAATCAAGACTAATTGTTAATAGTTGTTCATAAATTTAAAGAAATATTTGAAAATTAGCATAGTAATAAAAATTGTGGAATTTTTACACCACTGGAACACAAGATTGTGCATCGGGTTTGATATTTTATTAGTCTTTTCTAACCTAAATATATTTTATAAAAGCATATTTTAGGCAGAGAAAAAACTGTCAATTTTTCTGTGATTTTTATTCTTCGTTTCTTTGATTTGAAACAATTATGGTACCAATGATTAAATTAGAGCACTTGTGAAATAAAATCATATTACTATATTTAAAAAATGGACAAGTGTAAAATCGTATAAAGGTAGGCTATATTTCTGTACCATTATTACATATAATATATTTGTTTTTTCTTCAAGGGTTCTACATTAATCACATTTATCATCAGCATCATCGTTATCGTTATTCTGTGGAAATCTGAATTTTTGTCGGAAATGATAATTGTCATAAAAAGAATTAAAACAAAAATATATCGCAGACTAGGCACATTTTACAAAGAAAATCTTTTTACAGGCACACTTACTTTACAATCGTTATCGGAAAATAGAAGTCATTGTCGTTTAAAATAAGCATTTTCTCTTCTATTAATTTTGCAGCATGCGGGACATATTTAATCATTTTTTGACAACATAGAGCGATTAATTGGTGAAGTATTGACTGGATTTTTATCTCATCTCGTAAAGATGCTAAATCGCTCTGTTCTTTTATTTAATAAAGGAAATATTTTTAAAAAATTTTATCAAAAGATTTTTACTTGTCGGTCAAAGTAATCATTTAAATGTTGATGTGACGAGATGCATCATATTTGTTTAAAACATTTCAACTAGCACTAGCGAGTAATGAATAGTATGCACTCATTAAAAACGATTGACGGTAATTTACATAGTAAAATTATAATGAAAAATACAAAAAATATCTTTACACTCTGTCGTTTTAATCACTATTGATATCAAAATAACACAAATGATCATTTACAGAGACGACGTTTTATTTGAGGCTACGACCTCTGTCAAAAATATATATTGGCTTCAAAAAACGTCCTCTAGTCTTCAAAAATAGCATGAATTAAAAAAAACATAGCTCATTAAAAATGTTTATTAAGTGAACATTTGTATTATTTTGGTGATTGAAACGGCAGATTGTGAAGACATCTTTTTGTATTCTTTGTTACAATTTTACTATGTAAATTTCTATCGGCCATTTTTAATGAATCATGTGTTTTTAATTGGCTTCTAGCTAGTCCTATGTTCAGTTCCCGCACGTAAAAATTACCGGCGGGAACTGGACACAGGCTAAAAGCGTAACAATCAATAGTATTAGCTGCTTCGCAGCACTTCGACAAAAATCTCTGTAGAACAGATAGAAATTCGCCGCATTGTTTAACAAGGGCGTTTTTTACGTAACTGTCTATATATTGTCCGCCACCCGTTTCCTATAATTCAGTACTAGTGAAGAAATAAGTTCAGTTCACATCCATTTCCTGGTTCTCTCTTCCTCTCTTTGTCAGTGGTTTTTATCCCTTCATCCACTAATAGGTATTGTTTTGTTGATATTAAAAAATGATAATTTCTCGCTCTTGCTCTAACTACTAATTAAAATACGGTTGAATTATCTTTTTTTATAATAAGCGTAAAAACTTTATATTTTTAATTAATTTTCATAGTATGTTTCGTTAACATACTGTCAATAGTAAATATAAAATATTACTACATGAAACTTTTAATATAGTTAATATATTTAAATTTTATTTAAATAACTTTAAACAATACTTGAAATTTTTCCGTCGCCCTATCATATCAGAATAAAAATTACCTATTACTATATAATTAAGAGTTTCGTTTACATAGATACAGAACGGATGAAATTGTTGATCAAAGTATATTATTTATACAGTCGACCCTCCTATAAGACGGTAGATACGTTCCGTTTTTTATGAAATTGATGTTTTAGGAGACCTTGCCAATCACAGCCCAACACGTGTGAAGTTTACGGACTACGGCTGTTTGAAAGGTTTTCTTCATAAAATTAATCGATTCCTAGACTAATTCGACTCAACGTTTCCAAAACACGTACATATATTTTTTTGGGAATAATCCGTATAAACTATGCTATAAACAAAAAATTGTAGGATTACTTACCGAGTATGCACCGTTCGACGTCGCCATTGCTTAAGCTTGTTTNCATAAATTGTGCCAATTCCTGTCTGTATATTGCAAAATACAACTTCATAAAACGAATAATATCCTGTTTGGAAAGCGTAATATATTATAAGAACAATTATGGTTTGCATTGTTATTATCATAATACAACTGGAAACAATCTGAAATATGGAAACAATATTTATAATGCGACTGAAATGATGTTTTTCGGAATTAGAAAAATTTCTTAATTTAATTGTTGGTTTAAATTTATTTCTGCACACAGAACTGTTTATCATCACATACATAAATATAAAAGTAATGAAAAATAACTTGACCATTAGAAGTTCGTCTCCAAATAGGTTGAATGCACTAAGGCAAGGAACATTTTCATTGAGAATTGGAATGAGAGAAATAGTTATTTCAGAGAGATATGCCCAGGAGATATATTGCACTAATCCAAAATAAAAAGATTTGGAAAACTTATTCACAAAAGTGGACCTACTCGAATATTGACAGTTGCATTCAAAGAAAGGATCCACACCAAAGACTAAAGCGGTCGATAGACACGGTTGAAGTAAACATCTCAAGCACACTTCAGTTAATTCTTCCATTTTTTTTTTCTTTTCTTTTTGCTGTCAGGACTTAGCAAAACGTCAGTTATCTCTGTAAATTAGCAGAGTGACAAAGCTTTCGCTAAATTTCGTTCAGAGGAACTTCGGCTTTGTATCTAGGACAATTGTTTTGCGAAACAAATGCTATTAATATAAATGCGTGTTTTCTGTGACAATACTTAGTGCGATCACGCACAAACATGTTGAATTTATAGATATATACAAATAACGTATAAACTAGATCTACAAAATAACATCAAGTTATTAAAAATGCTAATTTGTATTGTGGCAATATATTTCGAAAAATCTGACAGTAATTCGAAAAATATGATTGAAGGTAAAGTTAAATGCAAGTTTAAATAGAAACTGCTTAATTTTCTGGAAAATTAAAATATTTATGGCATCTATAGAATATGAAATTGTCATATTTATTACGACGGTTGTAATACATATCAAGATATATGTTGCTGTATATCTTGCTCTTAATTGAATAGATATTTATTAAAAGTCGATAAGCGTAGTATTAGTTTCATAAAATACACGCGGTTTCGAATAAACATTGGCGATTAATTTGACATAATATTTATTCTGTTCATTTATTTATCACGAAAAGTTTAATTAATATTTTCTGTTTCATTTTATATAATGTATAATGACTTTATTTTGTAATCTTAAAATGAATGAAACGTATCACTTAATTGTTTAGAATAGCAAAGCATTAGAGTAATGAATACTTAATTCCATTTAATTAACATGATTGAAGTGAATCTTGCCTACCTAAAGTTAACAGGACTTTGTATGATGATATGATAATATAAGTTAACACAGGGGTGGCCAACCTTTTGCATACCATGCGCCAATTTTTTTATAGACGAGTTCAGATGCGCAGTGGCGTACCGTGAGTGTTAGCAGCGCGGGGCGGAAAAAAATTTCGGCCACCCCTTAATTAGGTATTTCAATTTATAAGACGAAAATTCAGATTTGCCACAGAACAAGCAATGAAAAATGCGGTTGTAGTGTAGCTACCCGTATAAAATAATTCTAAATGACATCAGTGGTGTACATGAACACGAATGCATCATGTAACGTACAAGCAAAAAAAAAAAAAACAAGGTCAACATGTCGATTGCACCGAATTGCGTATGCAATGAAGCCAAATCTGGAAATGTTGCTCGGAACCGACTGAAGCGCCACTTGTAATCGTCCAATGCGCCAAGTTTGGCGCATGCGCCACGTTTTGGCCACCCCTGAGTTAACATGTCGTATGCACTATTCATTATGTCCCTGCAGCGTTATCCAATACCTACAGTATCTCATTAAACAGAAGCCAGAGAGTTACATGCAAACTACTTCAATATAGAAGTATAACATCAATTCCTTAATATTGTAATTTCGTTCTAGAAAATGTTATCGTATTATTAATATACAGGTTCAAGAA